CAGTCAGTCAGTCAGGGTCACTGTGCTGTAGTGTCCAGTCAGTCAGTGCTCAGTAACTCAATGAGTGTTAATGCACTATATTTTATTAGGTTTTCATAGTTTGTTTATATCTAGCCTGTTTGATAGTTAGGAGATAATTGAGTTGAAAATCTTATCCCTCTGTTTTTTTATAAGCAGTATAAGCAGGCCTTAACAACATGGCTGGGCAGTTTGTTCCACACTACCACCCCCCTTTGTGTAAAGAAGTGCAGCTCCACTCAGCTCCCTCTTGTGCCTGCAGGTCCGAGTTTCAGCGTTTCTCTGTCTGACTCCCAGCCCTCTCTGCTCTCTCTGTCTCAGCAGAGGATTCGAGGTGCGCGGTGGGCCAGGGCTCGACTCTGGCGGCTCTCCCTGGCCGTGCTGCTGTTGACCCTCCTTGCCCTGGTCCTGGGGCTGGGCATCCTTTTCCACGGCGACGGCAGCTGCTCGGCGCCCGCCCAGGACAGCCCAGGTACCGGGGGAGGGTTCGAAGTGATCTCCAAGGAAACGAGCAATTCTCGTGACAATAGCGCAGCAGTCTGGAGTAACCACTAGGTGGCGCTCTTCAATCTGAGGCAACTGTCCAAGTTAGCTCCGCAGTGGGGCGATGTGAGAGACTGTATTTTCCATGGCTGTATAAGCAAGAGCTGGCTGTGCTCCAGATGACATCGCACTTCTATTATTACAACCACGGGCGTTGATTTTGATCACTGACATTCCTGATCCGGGTCAGGCTGACAGAACACCAGCAGCCTCCTAAAGCCTTTCTCAAGTTTTACTCAGGGGGGGAGAGCACAGTATAGACCGATACATCCGCACACGCAGGGATACGAGAACCTGGGCACAGCACCAGGCACAAAGTGGAGGAGCCTCAAACACTGAAGGACTGCGTCTGGAGGTGGTCCAGGCCTCCTAGCACTTCATGTAGGGCCTGACACAGATGCTCATGCACAAGGCTGTTCCTCATTTGATTTTTTTCCAGAGCAACTTTGACACCAAAAGTGAACAAGACCTTTTTCAATTCATTTCACTGATACTGCCACCAGTCCATCACAGGGCAGACACACACACACACACTCACACACATTCACACCAGGACTAATTTTCCCACAAGCAAATAACCCACAAGCATCTTTGGACTGGGGGAGGAAACTCATTTGATCAGAGGAAGGACATGCAAACTCCACACAGACAGTAACCTGGGAATTAAACTGAGGGCCCTAGTGCTGACCACTGACTACTGCGCTACCGGGCTGCCCAGTATCTTAAACGGATTCAACAACCTCCTCGCTCTGCTCTCCTCTCCCCCAGGTCTTTCCTGTCTCTCCCCGGCCTGCCTGTCGGTCACAGCTCACCTCTCCTCTTCCCTCGATCCTTATGCTGATCAGTGCCAGGACTTCTTCCAGTTCGCCTGCGGGGCGCGCCTCCGGGAGCCAGCCACCGGGGGGCGCCAGAGGGGGAGGAACAGGCAGCTGCAGCCCGGCCGGCCGGCCAGCTCACCCGAGCAGAGGGGAAACGCCCGGCAGAGGATGCTGAGGGACATTCTGGGTGAGTCTCCCACGGGCTCGGCGTGCGTCTTATGGTCTGTGAAGAAGGTCTTGGGGATCTGCGTGGGTCATGCAAACTGACAGCAGCAGAAGGAGTCTATCTATCTAGACAGTGGCGTTATGCGGGGGCGTGGCCAGTGTGGAGGCGGAGTCCTGGTAGAAGGGCGGAGCTTGTAGTCAAGTTCAGGTTTATTGCCATCATTCTCATACACAGGGTTATGGTATAACGAAATGCTATTTAGCAGTGCAAAAAAAAAAACAATAATACAATTGTATAAGACAAGAAAGGCAGAGACAACAGGCAGTGTGCCAAACAACTTGGCGGAGCGGTGGCTCTGTGGTTCAGGATCCCGCGGCCGGCAGAGGAATCCTACTCCCCTGAGCAAGGCCCTTAACCCCAACTGCTCCAGGGGCGCCGTACAATGGCAGACCCTGCGCTCTGACCCCCAGCTTCTCTCCCTGTCTGTGTCTCCATGGAGAAAAGCTGGGGTATGCGAAAAGACGAATTCTAATGCAATAAATTGTATAGGGCTAATAAAGAAACATTATTATTATTACATTACAACAACAGGCAATGTGCAAAACAACATTAGTTGTGCAAAATCATACAGCGACAGAATGAAATAAAGGATCGAAAATAATGGGGAGTGAGCTTCTTGACGTGTGAGGCGGAGGTAGGTTTCAATGTGTGTTTGGGTTTCGATAAAGAGAGGAGGCACTGTGAGGGTTCAGATCGCAGGTGTGAGAGGCGGGGAGTTTGACAGGGCGGGGGTAAACACTGTCTCCGAGTCTGGTAGTCCAGGCCCGGGATGCTCCAGAGAGTCCCAGCTGTCCCGGCTTCTCGAGGATGAGCCCCAGCTGGGCGGGTCCTATATAGGCACACTGGACACCCCCCCCCTGAGGGGACAAGCAGGGACACCCCGCAAGGGGGGAGATTTCACTAACAGTCCCGAAAGGGATTCCACCCGCCTTTTCTTTCCGCCTGTCCCATCATGCACTTTCCCCGCTGGGGGGGGCAGGCTGTTTTATTCGATTTCCTGCCTGACGCGCAGGGTCGCTGTGTGAGGGGTTCTCCTTTTTTTTCCCCCCCAGGCTGGACCCCATTAAATAGGGTGAGCCCAGCCCGGAGAACACCCTGCTCTTTGCGTTCCGTTTATTTTTCACCTCCTTTTGGTGTTATTTTTGTTGGTCCCCTGCTAACCTCCCACTGGTGCTTCTGTCCCCTCACCCGGGGCGCTGATTTTTCGCCGGTGCTCCCACTGCACACTGCCACAGTCACCTGTGTCGAATAGCCCTGTCTAGCAGCCCTGTCCAGCCGGGGGTCACGAAGACCGGACAGCAACAAGCAGGTGTTAGTTCTGCCAAACAATTCCAGCGGTTCACCCTCGGCCTCCTACAACCACACGGGGATGAGCCAGTCCCCCCCTTTTTCCAGGACTGTCTCCCCCGTGGTGGGGTTTGTGCTCTCCCCCTCCCGGGCACAGGCGTTCATTAACCCCTTCCCTCCCCCACCGGGCTGTGTGCTGGCAGAGTCCCCGAAGGGCTCGGGCGCCGCGGACTCGGCGGAGGAGAAGGCGGGGAGGTTCTACCGGTCCTGCATGGACACGGCCCGCATCACGGACCTGGGGGCGCAGCCGGCGCTGGAGCTCATCGAACAGGTGCGTGTGTGCGCGTGTGTGCGTGTGTGGCCAACAGTGGGAACAGTTTCACAGGGTTAGAACTCTTGTCTTTACGTGAAGCATATCCATCCATCCAGGGCCAGATCTTGGTGTCCGTAGGCCCTGGGCCCCTGTCTCTCCGAAATGTGCAAGAAGAGGGTTGAACGTCACTTGAATGACGTCGATCAACATGATGCACTTTAAACTAGTGTGATGACCAGGGGGACTTGCACAGAATGAAGTTGGCACACCCCTGATTTTGCCGGCAATAACACGTATATTTACCTCTGCCCCTCGGACTTTGACAGAGAGATTAAAACTGCTCAAAGGGGGTCCCACTCTCACACACTCACACACACAGTAAGGATTAAGGAGGGGTACTTCAGTCTACGGTGGGCTACAAGGACAAAGCAGCAAACACTGCTTACAACTATTTACAGTGGCTCCTCAGAAACTCTCTTGGCTCTTTACCGTCGTGGAATTTTATCGAAGAAGAGCCAGGAGAGGTGTCCTCATTCCCTCAGTAAGGTCTTTATTCATATTGCAATCTGGGAAAAAGCCATCCCCCGTCTGTGCAGAGAAGTGAAGGCTGATTCAAAAGCAAGCAGGGAGAGCCCTTGTTTTAGATCTTTTTTTAAGCTGATGCAAGACTTCAAGGACAGGCGAAGCAGTCATTTCCCATTCCTTATAGGTTGCTGCTTTAAGCAAAGAAGGGCAGTTATTCAAATAGTTTCTCATCCTCCCTTCTTCAAGCAGCAGAGATAAACATGATTAAAACACCCCGTGCCCTCGACGGCCTGGGTGCCGTCACCCTTTGTTCTAAGTATCCAGCTGCTTCTGCACCACAGCTCTGTCCGCACACAACAGTTTTGAGGATGAAACACTTTTTCTCAGTAACTTTCCACTACATTGCACTGCCAGGTCAATCTCCTCAAGTCCAGCCCCATGGCCCCCGCGCCCAGCCTGCCTTGCGGGCGCATAGCTAAGGGGAGGTGCAGCCCCTAAAGCGACCATGCGGGCACCCCACTATTCTAGTGCTAAACCGCGTGATTGATGGAGCAGGTCAGGCGCCCATCACTTCGATACTTCCAGTTTCTAGAACAGCCGCTAGAGAGCGGATGATTATTGATTTGGAGCAGCTAGAGTCAATCGCAGGCGTGTTGTGTCATTAGTCACTAGTGTTTCCCTCCTTCGTAGGCCCTAAAAATATCGTAGGCCCTCGGCACTGTGCCTGCAGTCCCTCATGGGAAATCCATCTTCCAACAGCTTTATCCAGAAGAGGAACAGGGTGCCGGGGGAGCAACGGGCACGAGGCAGGGTACGTCCTGGGTGGGACGCCAGTCCATCACAGGGCAGACACGTACACTCACACTCACACCAGGGCCATTTTCCCCACAAGCCTATTAACCCACCCGCAGGTCTGAGGGCTGTGGGAGGAAACCCACACAGACAGCACCCCAGGGCCCCAGCACTTGCGACGCACCGCCAATAACCACCATATGAGAAAGATTCACTTTCATTTTCAAGAGGGGAAAGTAGTGGCCAGAACTTTTTTTTTTCATTTCTGCTTTTCGACGGGGAATTAACCTGGTTCCTTGTTTTAAGTTCCCCTTCCATATCTGTTTTGTTCCACTTTGGTAGGTGTCTTGGAACAACTCTTTGAAACCTTTTTTTTTTGCTCTTCTCCAAATTTATCCAAAACGGTTTTGAAGGTCTGGCTGTTAAGATGGCAGATTAACCCAGTTTCGCTGGGTCGTTTTTTCAAAGTGTTCTATCTGGGCTGCCTGTCGTCACTGACAGCCTAACGTGCTTCACACTTCTAAGTCGGATCTGTTCCCACCTGGTTACCCAAGATCAGACGGGTGCCATCCATGATAATGAACAGAATCCAGGAAAATAAGTCGATCATGGTTACGTTTTTTTATGCATGTCTTTTAGAAAGCCCACTGGATTGGGGCTTTCCAGTTTCTGGCTTCAAAAACTGCTTGGGTTTGCCTGCAGGAGTCAAAATGACCATCCACTGTGATCCCCGCCCGAAGAAGGCTCCACAGCCGAAACGTTGTGTTTCTTTTCTTCTCTTTTCAGCAGGGAATAAAACTTCACTTGTTCCCTGGCATGTACTACTATGATCATCAGTGCGATACTTGCGGAGCTTTCCAACCCAAAGTGCACAGGTGTTATTATGGAACAAGTAATAGGTTTATTCCAGGCTGAAAGGAGAAGTAAAGAAACACAATGTTTCGGCTGTAGAGGCTTCTGCGGGTGTCATGGATTATTACGATCATCATCGTGATCCTCCTGGTCTTTGTAGCTGGGTGGCTGGCCAGTCTCTGGGGTGTGGAAGCGCTCGGATTTCAACGCCACCCTGAGATCTCTGATGCGAGACTACTCCACATTCCCTTTCTTCAGCGTCTACATTGGGAGGGACCCACAGGACCTCAGCCCTAACAGCACCGCGAAATACATCCAGGTCAGTACCTGAAGCGAGCAGGCTGGACAGAGCCCGGCCAGGAGAGACGGGCCCAGTGCTGAGCTGCACTGGACCTTGGCTCTTGGCAGTGAAGTAAGGCACCTGCCTTCTGGATGAATATCGGTGCCGACCACACTCTTGAGATTTTCTCTCTCAGTGGCAGGCAGTGCTGGAGGAGCTCGAGACAGACTCCCATCACTTTCCCTTGACCCGATCGAAACCTAAGAGGTGCAAAACAGCTGTCGCACCATCGTTGCGTTTCTGGGAAACACTGCGTCATAGAGACTCACGTTATAAAAACCAGTGGAAA